GAGCTGCACCATGTTGCTGAGTGTGTTGATCCAGCTGTTGCACGTTACGGTTGACTATGCACGGCCGTTGTTTCTGTTGGTCGTGCGTGAATGATGGTTGCGTACTGTTGCTGCCCGATGTGTTTGCAACATACTATTGTGATTGCTGGGCGGCACTGTGCTGCTGAGCACACTGTGCCTACTGCAGAAGCGGCTGACGTGTGCGCAGCCCTGCCATATCATCTCACTACGCATTCTGAGTTTCTTTGGATATTCAGTGGTGGCTAGACTGCAAGGCGGAGGCGGCTACTGCAGCTTGGAGAAGGAGACGGCAAACGAGGCTATTGCTGCGGTTGGGGGTTCGCCGGGAGGGCTGGGTTCGGCAGTTGGACTTTGAGAGTTGACTAAGCTGTTACACTTGGCCATCATTGCGGGGCCCTCAGGTGACTTAAGATATCAAGGCCCTCTCGCGCGAGTCTGAGTGCAACCCTCTTGTATCTGAGAGTCTCAAAATTATCTCTTTCTGCCCTCTTACTCTAAGTCTAGTCCTTTGGTTCTGAGAGGAAGGCGGCAGGCGGGATTGCAACCCGTAAGTCCACATCAAGGCTCTGTGGGGAGTCCGCCCACCGATTGCGGGAGCTCTGCCGGAACTCAGGAGGAGTTGTGGAGGCAAGGAACTGAAAGGTAACCATTGCTTTCCCTTATAAACCCAGTATGACCCCTACCTATACACTTCCCTATGTATTGGCTGACTGTATTGAATGCAACCCTAATTTGATTTTAGTTTGACCCTCAGGACACAAGTCAGACTAAGTAAAGGAATGCGTGTGCAATGGCAGTTTCAGTTTCTTAATTGTTTGAAAGCAGATTGTGACAAGGGATTGCATCAGGCGGAAGGTTGGGAGGACGGTGGTTTTGCTTGAGATTGGAAGGGCCTTACAGAGTCAGGCATGGTTCCATAAGATTGGATGGCCTGACTGCTGTGTTTATTCTGGTTTTCTGAAAAGGCCAAGCTTTGTTTCTAAGATGAATGACTTGGCCGTTGTGTTTGCTTAATTTCGCAAGACTTTGTTTCGAAGATGAATGGTCTGGCTATTTATTTTTTGGGGGCTGGTTGTGCAAACTTGGGGGCCAGACCTTGTTTCTAAGATGAATGGTCTGCTCGTCGTTTATTTCTGGGTGGTTTCTGAACAGCCTCTGGGGTTAACTTAGAGTGCTCTGCTTTTTTGTGCTGAGAAAAAAAGGTTGAGCTTTGTTTCTAAGATGAATGGCTGAACTCTTTTGTTTGTTTTATTGTGAGGGAGAAATTCTCGCTGAGGACAAAGCATGTTCCATAAGATTGGATGGCTTTGGACTCATGCCGCACACAGATGGATCAGAGAGAAATGAACCAGGCAGAGGACCAGACATGTTTCATAAGATTGGATGGTCTGGCCCAATACGTCGCACATGCTGGAACCCAAAGGGTTATGATTTGGCTATATTTTATTACTATCTTATTTAAGAACAGGCCAGTCAGGCAAGGGTTCCATAAGATTGGATGGTCTGACTATAGCTTACCATAAATTTGAAGAGAGTATAACTAAGAGTATAATTGAAGGTAACTTTGGGCAGGCCGAGCTTTGTTTCTAAGATGAATGGCTCAGTCCTATGCTCAGCTTTTAAACACTAAGTTCATAGAGATATATATAACTTGGATATTAAACAGTTCAAGGCGATTAGGCATTGTTTCTAAGATGAATGGCTTAGTCATATGCCCAAACGAAGAGAAAAGTAGTTGTGCAACCTGTTCGTGTATACTTGATGACTGAGTCAGGCATGTTCCATAAGATTGGATGGTCTGACTTTACGCCTTATGTAAGCAGGGTATAAAGGGGTAAATCATTGAAAGACTATGAACTATTGTCTGTTAAATTGACCTTGGGATGGCGAGAGTACCTACCTTTGTGGTTTGGCCTGCATGTGACTGAGTGATGCTACTGTTTGGTCTGAATTTCAGTTTGACAGGTAGTATCCTTAGGTGCTCGCCATGTGCTAGAGCGATAGGAGTTAGTCTCAATTCCTGCATTTGTTGGGTTAAGTTTATTTTACTTGGATCCATTCTCGCATTTTCTAGATTTTTTGTTATACTTGGCTTTGTATAAATTTTAGTAAGCTACTTTCTCTACGGGAAGCGCTGCCGAAATTTCTGCAAATCCAATGAGTTAGTCAACTTTTAACTTTTCAAAGTTCAACTTGTCTAAAGTTCATATATGACTTAGTAAAAATCTGGAAAGTCTCCTTTTCTAAAAGGAGTGACAATTTTTTTTCTAGTTCGAGGAGTTGGACAAAAATTGAACTTTGGAAAGTCAAAGACTATCTTTGGTTTCATATTCGGGCTGATATAAATTATGAAAAAACACTTTTCCTACGGGAAGTGTTGCCGAAATATTTTCTTAGTTTAAAGGAGCTAGGTTATATTTTGACAGGTGGCGATTCTGGCGATCCACCCTGTATACGAAAGACTCTGCCAAGATCTACCTTTGCTTTGGGCACTGCTCAAGGGTAGATTTGAGCTAGTAAGGCAGATTTTGGAGTGAGATCGTGATTATCTTCCAAGGACTTATAAATTTAGCTTGAAGATTGGTCTGTCATGTATTACAGGTCCTCTTGATCAGATGATTCCGGATCTAGACTAGAGTCAGCTCGATCCTACGAGGATCATCTGCTGTTATCACTCATAACAGGTCAGTTGTCGATTCGTCGGTTTATGACTCAATTCCAACCCACTCCCCACACTCAACCTAAAAGGCTTTAGCCCTGGTGATCTTTGTTGTTTTGTTAAGGTTTCACCCAGACTTTTATTAAGTGGCCATTTGACAAAGGTGCTGAGTTTTTAATTATGGTTGGTTGGACAGGAGATCGGGGTTTACATGGTTAAAGCGAGGGGTATGAGTGTTGAGAATGGTTGGGGTTGACTCCGTGAAGTGCGTGGACTGTCGTTCGATTCTTTGATGTGATTGCAGGTATGTTTTGTGGCTCAGAAGTGGGGTTTGATTGCCCTGCGATCACATATATACATATGGTTGTAAGAAGGTTCATTGAGACTATGAGAAGTGATTGTCATATACTTACTCCCTTATATATGTATACGTGGGTGCATATATGATGAGTGTTCGCGTGACCCAAGAGGCCTCGTACTAAAAGTTTATCCAGAGGTTAAGACTAACGGGCATAAGGAAGACCCTCCCTTTTATTTGGTTGCTTCTTTGAAGGTTCTTAGTCGGACGTAGGTCCTGGGTCGGGATTCAAGGTCCTTGTCCATGACACCCCAAGCCCTAGACTCTGCAGGGAAGGGACCTCCCCTCGCGCAGAGTCTATTTGCTCTGCCCGTCGAGACACCCAACCCCGAGGGCAGAAATGTCTTGAGGGCTGAACGGCATGTCCTTCAGCCGTTCAATATCGTCAGGGGTAACCCCTCACGATATATTCCTTCAGCCATTCAATATTGTGAGGCCGGGGCCGCGATTACCACGTATGACTAGCATTGTTGGTTGGTATAGGACTGACCTGCTGTCGCGCGGCTTTATATCAAACCCCTGCGCGCGACGTTTCGTCGTCCTAGTGTCTGAAAATTATGGGACTGAGGGGCTCGCATGTATGCACGAATGTTCGAGATTATTATAGGCCGCTGGTACCAACCAAAAAGGGTACCCAAGGTTATGAGTTTTTTTTGATAGGGGGACCCTTGGCTTGTTTTTGCTTTTTAGAACTATCGTGGTTGGACGTTATAGTCCGTGGCAGCCGTCAAAGTCAAACCCCTTGACTTCTGTCCAGGCCTGGAGTAGGGCTCATCCCCAAGGCAGTAAGAAACGACGGCCACCACAGGGAAGGACCTGTGTACCACCCACTCTGCACAGAGTGCAGAAGAGGGTGTGTGGTCTTCAACCTCGCATGGCGGTTGTCCAGCGTCAAGAGATTAACCCTCAAAGCGCGTGTCAGCTGACACTTGAGTGTCGAATGCGACCCTCGAGGTTAACGAGGACCGCATGAGTATGGGTACTACACAGTACGTCATCATTGCGACTGCCTGTGTACGCTTGCATTGCGAGTCGATATGATTAGCCCTGCATCCGCGCGGTTTTATACTAAATCTCGCGCGCGACGCCTATTCGATTTCCGCATCGGAAAGTTATGGGATAGCTACCGAGGGACTAGGAGTGTTGTCGCGTTGTTTGTGTGTGTTGTATTTTCTGTGTTCGTAAAGTGGTGTGCGCGTGGTGTGTGGGATACGTCCTAGTCGACCGACGACGAGTCGCGCTTGGGACCTCAGCCCCCCAAGATGTCGGTTCGCGTGCGGGTCCGATAGAGGCGTATTACCGCGCGTACCCCCTATGCTACAACGAACGAGAAACGCCCTCGGCTGGTCCACCTCTGCGATTGCAACTGATCAGCTTTCGTACTGTGGGCTGGTAACTCGGCGGGGATACGTCCACCGAAGGGAGGTGATAGCTCCTGTAAGGTGGAGGTAAGTCGTGCCTCGTGTAGGCCTTATCCTGTCGAAGGGGCTCGCGAGAGGTATGGCTGGCGCACTCGGTCGGAGTGGCTTGCGGAAGCTCCATGTATATTGTGACGAAGGATTTAAACCAACTCCTGCGTGACGCGGTCGGGAGGGTCCCGCGCTGCCTCGTGCGGTGCCGGACCGATGCGCTCGACAGGTGGTGCCGTTGCCGGGGATAATGGAAGCCTACCATTGTCCCTGGTGGAACGACATCCGGGTATGCGAAAGAGAGAAAACCAGGCATGCTTTGGATAAGCGGTAAATGAGTGGTGTGGTGCCTTGTCTGGCCATTTGTATGTAAGACTTGATTACTAATGGATCTGATTGGTAATTGAAGCGAACATGCGACTTGAGAGACGGTATAAGGAGCCTCGTGCTAGGTAAGAGTTAGGGATAGTGGTGGTATCTGTCCGATTAAGGGAAAGTCAAAATAATGTAGGGGGTCTGTTAGAAGTATGTCAGGTCGAGGCGCTGAGTGAAGCGTTCCGTTTCTTCTCTTAACAGGAAAGTTGAGCGGGAGGCAGTCAGCTAAGATGTCAGGAGGTGGGGGCGCCGTCCCGAGAAAGACCCTGACGCTCGACGATCTTATCGAGGCCATGGACAAGTGTGAGAGGGCGCCGAGGAATGTCCCGAAGGTTGATACATTTCACTTCAAAGGGGAGCGGGTATCCGATTGGCTGGACCTGGTTGACCACGCGCTGGTGGGACTGGCAGACGAGGTAAGATTTCAGCGGATTATGAGATACGTCCTCCATAGCTACCATCAGGAAGTGAGCAAGGTTGTGGACGCCGCCAATGGCAGCTGGTCAAGGTTCAGGGAAGGGATGTTAAGGAAGTACAGGCTAGGGGACGGTCTGCTGACTATGGCTGACTTGGAAGCCATGAACAAGGATGATTTTTCCACGATCGGGGCGTTCGTGCACGAGCTCAAGAAGAAGGCAAGGAAGGTGCACGGGATTTCTGAAGAGGCGCAATGTGCCATCTTCTTGGGGTTGCTTACTGGCACGGAGGCCTCGGAGCTGACGAGTCACGGAGGGGGAAGTGAGAAGCTCACCTGGGCCACTATTGATAAAGGAGTGGAAGAGGGGAGTTTGGACCAGGTGGAACAGCACCAGATGCGGCTACAGAGGCGAAAGAGAAAGGAAAGGGACGCCACCGCATCTGGGACCCCGGGGGTAAAGAGGATCGTTACGGATGTACTAGCGGCCTTGGGCTATGATAATGAGGAGGAGGTGTAGAAAAGGGGGGTGACCGTGGCCCAAGGTCAGATATCAGGGGCAGTGGATGAGGAGGTCGGACGCGAGGACTACGGTGGGGAGGAAACGGGCCCTCAGGCCCTAACTAAAGCCCAGTGAAAGCAGCGTAATTCGTTGTTGGGAGGTCAAGGATCAGGAAAGGGGCAGGCCCCTCAAGCAATTGTTGCGCCGCCACCTGCCACCACAACGGCGTCTGTGTCAGCAGGGCCATCGCAAATGGGGCCGCCACCAGCTTGTGGGCACTGGGTGCCGTATTGTCAGGTAGCACCCTGACCCAGTTGCAGCCACTGCACCTCGTGTGGAGGGAGCCAAGCCCACGCTAGACAGATGATCTCATATTCGGGCTCACCGGCAGGGGCGGGCCCACCAAGTTATCCTGCGGCTCAGGGTCAGTTTGCGGCCCAACCGCCACCCTCGCAACAGGCGTCGCAGGCTAGCGTGGCCGGAGGAGGGAACCACGGGCAAGGCGGACAGGGCAACGGAGGCCGAGGCCAAGGGGGTCGGGGAGGCGGTGGCCGAGGCCGAGGAAGAAATGGCGGGGGTCGCGGAGGTGGATGGAATGGCCAAGGAGGCCAGGACCAAGGTGGCCATGGCGGCCAGGAACGGGGCCAAGGGTATGGAAGGCCCCACTTTGATTGGTGGAATGCCACCTGCTGGCATTGTGGCTACCAAGGCCACACTATACGATTTTGTCAAGGGCGACGGGATGATGAGCTCTCCTGGTTGATCTCCACCAACATGGATGGAGATATATATGATAAATAAGGGAAGTATATTGACCCGAAGACACCCGGCGGAGTTAGGCAGGAGGCCCAGAGGCGGGCGGCGGCAGGGCCAGCAACCCCAGCCATATTCAGGATGTGGCACGAGAGAGAGGATCCGGCCGTAAGGGTCGAGGAGATTGTGGGAGAAAGTGAGGAGGTAACTCAGCGGCTGAAGGCAGGGACTATAAAGGAGGAGCCGATAGTCATTGAGTCAGATGATGAGGGCTAGGAAGACGAGAGGGAGTCGGCCATAATCATCTTGGGGAAGATGGAGGATCTGCTGCGGAAAATGGGGAGGTACCAGCAAAAGTTGCAGGTTTTGTGTGACGAGACCCGGGAGCGGGAGGCCAACCTCCCCGGAGTCTTCCTATATGACTCCGGGCCTGAACCTTCATCAGGGCAACAGGGATACCCAAGAGTGGCGGTCGTGGGGGCAGACCCTAGGTCAGGTATGACCTATAGACCCCCCACCTCACATGGAAGAGTGCCACAGTCGGCGCGGACCAGGAGCCAGAACAAGGCGGGGGGGCCAGTCAAGAGCCCAGCCAGGCACCCCCTCGAAAGGAGCCTGAGTCGGGGCGCAGGAAGGAGGTGGTGGAGGTTTCGGAGGAGGATGAGGAGGATGACGACGAAGAGGATGAGAGGCTCCGACAAGAGGAGGATCGGCGGACGGAGCTAAGGGCCAAGGAGAGAGGGGCTCAAGAGGAAGCCGAGCCAAGCCTGCCTGACAGCGTACCTAAGAAGAAGAAGTACGCAGTCCGACTGGAAGAGGGTTTTGATGTGAAGCGAATGGTAGATAGGCTGCTGGAAGGTCATAATGACCTGATGAACTTAAAGGACATTTTAGCTTCAGCGCCCCGGCTCCGCGACGGACTGAAGGGTTCGGCTCTCGCGAAGGCTAGTGCCCAACGTCCACCTGAGTACGATCCTGCCAAGAGAGGTAGAATGGACTGAGGCAGGGACGAGGATGGACTGGAAGTGTGTGGCGTGTGGCCAGGTGGATTTGGTGGTAAAGAACCAGAAGTGTACCGGGATGGTGGATACGGGCGCAAAAATGAACATCATCAGGGAAAGGGAAGCGATGATGTTGGGGATGGAGATTGACCGTTCGGACCATGGTATGCTGCGTGGCGCCAACTGCAAAGCGGCTTTTTGTGGTACGACATCGAATGTGATTATAGAGATTGGGAAAGTACGGGCGAGGACCTGCGTCTTCGTCATGCCAGATGTCGACCACTCCATCCTCCTGGGAGGTCGTCCCTGTACCGCACGGAGACACTGATTTTTAATAAGCACGATGGAACGATGATCCTGCTCCTGTGCGATCCGGCCTGTGGGAACTATGAGGTCATTACTTGCCGGAACACGGGGCCAGGGAGTGGGAGGAACAAACTCAACCTTGGCTCGTTTACCTTTGAAGAGTCTGAGAACGAGCAGAGGAGGCTCTGGGAGGTGCCAGAGGAGGAAGGAGGGACCGAGGTGTTGACGCTAAGCCTTACTGATGTCAATAAGGCTATGGAAGTGGTGGCAGCGTATGACATGGCAGACCCTGAAGCCATTAAGGCGTTGAGGGAGCAGGTTCTTGAGATCCCTCAGGTGGGAGAGGTGGAGCTGGTTTATCGGCTTCCAAGCGGAAGAGGAGGTCCGGCAATGGCACAGGCACGAACAGTAAGCCGGCCTTTTTTAGGGAACGGCTTCATAAGGGCTCCCAAAGGCGGTAAAAAACGGTAGATTAAAAGTGTTACGAGCGGGAACGAGGGCTGATACGGCTCATGCGGGAGCAGGCAGCCAGTAGTCCGTGTCGTATCAGCGATGAGAACGAAGGGAAGTTGATAATTGGAGAGCCTGACTTCCTTTCGCCCCAAGAGAGAGCCCTGATGGTGGGATTGATGAAGAAAAGGCACCGCGCATATGCATTCAGTGACGATCAGCGCGAAAGGCTGGATGTGGACAAGTTCCCAATGATCAGGATCCACACGGTCCCACACGAGTCGTGGAATCTTAGGGGTGCGCGGTATCCCAACCCGGACGAGGAGAAGATGGTGGTGGACTACCTGGATAGCAAGATGCGCACGAATGTTGCCGATTATTCCAGCGGGTCATACGCATCCCCCTGGTTTTGCTTCATTAAGCCGAATGGGACGCTACGGTGGGTGCAGGATTTACAGCGGCTGAATGCTGTGACAGTGCGGGATGCGGGAGGATTGCCAAACGTGGACGCACTGTCAGAGTCATGCGCGGGGAGACCTATAATTTCGCTTATAGACCTCTACTCTGGGTATGACCAATTCCCTGTATACCCACCAGACAAACCTGTGATGGCGATGCACACGCCCAGAGGGCTAATTCATATGAATGTAGCCCCTCAAGGCTGGACGAATGCAGTGGCAATGGTGCAAAGACACATGATTAGAGCCATACAGACGGTCAGTTCACACATCATCGATGACTTGGCGGTTAAATGCCCGAAAGAAAGGGAGGAAGACGAAGTGATGCCCGGCATAAGACGTTTTGTTTGGAAGCATGTCCAAGACCTTGATCAGGTTCTGAGCTTGTTGGAAGAATATAACCTTATGGCAAGTGGCCCGAAGTCTAAGCATTGTATGAAGGAGGCGACCATTTTGGGTTTTGTCTGTAATGAGAATGGTCAGAGGCCTGATGTGAAGAAGGCAGACAAGATCGTGGAATGACCAGTACCCTTCCGGTCAATAACGGACGTAAGGAGCTTCCTCGGCACTTGCGGATTTTGGAGGAGCTTCGTGAGGAACTTCGCCGTCAAGACTGAGCACCTAAGGAAGCTGGTACGTCAAAACCAATAATGGGTTTGGGGTGGAGACCAGGAAGAGGCTGTGAAGCGAATGAAGGAGGAGTTTAAAGAAGGAGGTCTGGTGTTGGGGGCGCCAAACTACAAGGTCACTGAGGAGAAGTCATTCATCATCGAGACGGACGCGGGACCTACTGCCTTGGGAGGAATTCTGATCCAGGCGGATGCCGAGGGGAAGGAGAGGGCGCTGAGAGTTAAGAGTTCGACTCTTAATACGACTGAGATGAACTACTCTCAGTTTAAAAAGGAGACATCTCTTTTTTTTATTTTATTTTTATATATTGTCATCTCTTTTTTTTATCAATAAAAATGAAAGGCTACTTAATTGCTTAATTATAAAGCTTTTCATTGATTAACCATGCGCTAATTAAAAATATCTCTTGAAGTAAAGTAATTTAAGGTTAGGGTAACGACTTCGGGCATGGTCAGCTCCCATAGTGTGACGGGCGGTGTGTACAAGGCCCGGGAACGGATCACTTATCTAGATTCATCCTAGGATATAAAAGAGTGGAATATTAATATAATTCTAAAAATGACTGTACTCCACTGCCTGAGGATCTTTCGGAACTATGTCTTTGGCAGAAGGTTCGTGTTAAGGGTGGACCCCACTGCGCTCGCCTGTTCCCTGAAGAACTTTACTTCATCTGACCGAACCGTCGCGAGGTGGTTGACGTACATTTGGATGTTTAATTTTGAGCTGGAGAGGATTCCGTAGGACAAGAACAGGGCAGATGGGTTGAGCCGCATCAACTGGGATGGATCGGATCAGGAGTCGATAAGAGACACTTCGCCAATTGATGGGTTCTTCGATCAGGAAGAGGATGTCCGCCTCCATATAAATGAACGGTCCTTGTGGGTGCCTAGTTGTGTCGGTCACCACATATGGCTAGCGCCTAAGGGGTACGAGCAAAAGGAGGAGTTGGTCCTCAAGCCCTTCCAGGAGGAGGATCCGTGGGGGAGTAAAGATGTTCACTGGATGATGAAATTGGCGTTGGCAGGCACTCACAGCTTGGCGGAGGAAGTGAGGACGATAGAGGAAGGCCCAACTCAGGTAGAGGAGCATGAGCAGCTGATGGGAGGAATGTATCTACTTACCAACACGCTTCTGCAAGGAGACTTTGATCGAAAGAACTCATTCAGTCGTATGGAAAGTGAGGACTTCATTCCTGAAAGCCGGGATAATGAGTTCGAGGAAGGAGAAATCAAGGAAGCCTTTCGGGCAGAAGAGTACGATGGAATCTACCTGGAGTTGGGGCTACTCCTGTCCTGTGAGATGAGGGATAGAGACGCGAGTGTCAAGGCGCAGAAGATAAGGCACCTCTATGTGGTAAGGGATGACCATTTGTTTATAAAGCGACAAGTCGGGAACCCCAAAATGATTGTATGTGGGAGAAACTGGCAGATCGATATTATAGCAGCCCTACACGATGGTATAGCAGGGGGGCACAGAGGGATAGGTCCACGTGCACAAAGATAAGCCAATTGTACCATTGGGATAAGATGCTGACTATGGTCATCAAATACTGCCAGTCTTGTGTACCCTGTCAGGGGAGGTCGGTGCAAAGACCAGGGGAGCCTCTACACCCGAGGTTGGAGAGAGAAGTGGGTGCGGTTGTACAACTGGACCTGTTGTTCATGCCAGCTGGGGAGAATGGGTGTAATTACATCTTCGATGCACGGGATAATCTTACTGGTTTGTGGACGGGCGGGCTATCCACACAAAGACTGGCCCAGTTTTGGCAAATTGCATCGAGGAGTATTACTTGCGCTACCTCTTTGTCAAAGAGTTCGTGATGGATCGAGGATCGAAGTTCACCTGTAATGAGGTGCGAACCTTGCTTGCGGGCTACGGCGTAGTGGCAAACTATACTACTGACGCACACCCTCAGGCGAACGCACCTGTGGAAAGAGGGCACAGTACCATCACGAATCTCTTGCCCAAGTGGACAGAAGGCAAACCTAATCAGTGGCCGAAGTTCCTGCGGGCAACTTTCTTCGTGGAGAATGTTGCGATAAAGAGAACTACCAAGTACGCGCCAGCCACGTTATGGTATGGGAAGTATGCCACCTTTCCCATAGAAAGCTTCATGAAAACCTGGAGGCGCCAGAACTTGGAAGTAAATCTGTCCATCGAGGAGCTGCTCGATATCCGGGCTCGACAAGTGGGAGTTGCTGAAGAGAGATTATGAGAGGTCGCCAGTCAGGTAGAAAGAAACCGCATGCAGGATAAGATGCGATGGGACCAGATGGCGCGAGTGAGGAAGGAGCCGTTGGCAGTGAGGGATGTCGTATTGCTATATGACTCCTCCTTGGAAAAACAATAGTCGAGGGAACTCGACAAAAGGTGGATGGGGCCCTATAGGATCTTGCGGTGCGGCGAATTCGGAGTCTACCAGATCGAGGAGCTGGACGGGACAGGATGGTAGGATTGGGTGTCAGGGACTAGATTGAAGAAGTTCGTGGCCAGGAAATAGCTAAAGAATCCCACACCCCTCCGAGTAAGCCCTTGTTTGAAGGTGTCGCATGTCCTGGTTAGGCTAGGCAGAAAATGGAAAGGGGTAAGGGTACATGTGTCGCCGAAGACTTGATGGACTGATGACTGACCTTATTGTGTGCCTGTCTGTTTTCTCTTGCCTGATGTGCAGGTCTGACTTTTCGAAGACAGCCATGCAGAGGGGCGGGAGGGGCGGATGGCCACGACAGAGGCCCCTGGGAGCGTCTGGAGGGGGTGGTCAGCGCAGGCCAGTTGGGAGAGAGTCCACGCCTGTCTTCGACGATGATAACGTAGAGCTCTTTCTGGGCGCCTACCAAGCTCATGCGGCACGAGAGGGATGGTCTACCCAGGACAGGGTACGAAATCTGCGAGGAGTTAGGCGTTTCGAGGAGCCTATCGCGCATATTCGAGCGGAGGCTCTGACCTGGCAGGATGTGGAGGCGAGGATGCAGAGGCTAAGGGCTTCGCCGCTGGTACGGGATGGTTTGCCTATTCGACTGGAGGAAGGCAATGCGGAGGAGTTCATCCCGGCCTACAAGCAGTATATGCGCGATCAGGGGACTGGGCAAGAGGAGTGGATGCAAACGTTACCCCTTTGGACGCGAAGGGCGGAAAGGCCATTGGCGAGGCAGATTCGGGACAGGGCGCGTGATTGGGAGGACTGTCACGCTCAGTTGAGGCAGGCGTTCCGACAGCCAGAACCGGAGAGACCCGAGTCCAGGGTTGAGAGGAGGCAGAGAAGCAAGAGGCCACGGGACTCGGAGGCGAGAGAGGCCGCTGCGACTAGAGGAGGCCGAAAGGCCTTGGCATGGCGAGAGGAGGGGCCAGCAGAGCCAGTTCAAGTGGCGGCGCCGGTTCAGGCAGCGGAGCCGGTTCAGACAGCACAGCCAGTTCAGGCAGCGGGGCCAGCTCAGGTAGCGGAGCCACCCCCTACCCATGGGCTTGAGCAAGTGGAGTTTCGTCGACATTGCTAGAGGAGAGGGAGGTTGTACCGTTGAGAACGCCGCTCAACAGTCTGGAGGCCCATCTCGATGCGTCCCAATGGGGGACTTCGCAGATGGGAGTAGATCCGGTTGAACCGGTACGGTACGAGCCGGCAGAAGAGCCACCAGGCCCTGAGCCGGAAGCTGAGCCGCACGAGTCAGGGGAACTGCGGACCGAGGAGGTTATTACCGTTGGGGACGATACCCCTCCTCCCACCCCAATCCCGGAGCAAGTACGGCAGTACTGGCCTGAGGGGATTCCTGAGCCAGACAGCAAGGAGATTCCAGTACCGCCATCGGAAATTATTACGCCGCCTCTGAAGCAGGTTGAGCCAGAGGAGCGAGAGGAGAGCGAGAGGGCGAGGACACATACGATTTTGGCACCACCGCTAGCCGAGCATGCGGCTAAGCACTTGGACACTAAGGCGCCGACATCCAAGGAGCCACCGTCAGAGTTGTTGTCTGTAGAGGGGAGAATGAGTGCGGGAGTTCCACTACGAGAGGCCCACGAGACGCAAACGGAGAGGCAATCAGGGGAGACGGCTGAGGAGAAGTTCGCGAGAGTGCAAGTGCGCCTCGAAGAGATATATGAAAGGAAAGTTAGGATGGAGGCCGCAGCGGAAGTGTCGACGCCACCAATCGACCCCGGGACAAGTGAGTAGAGGATTGGTGAGGCATGGGCCAGTTATGAGGGTAAGAGGGATGCTGCCTGTTTGAGGTCACGAGAGGCAGGGCAGGAGGACGAGAGGGTGGACGAGGCACGAGAGACTGGGGACTTGGGATTTCAGCCGCCAGGATGGCAATCGAGGATACGCCAGGCGGCGACCACGTCTTTCCAGCGGTATACCATGCTTAGCGATGAGTTGGCGGCCTCGAGGATGGAGGTGGAGCAGTTGTCTGTTCAGCTAGCAGAAGAGAGGGCGGAGAACCAGGCTTGGAGGTCTCGTATGGAAGCCAAGGAAGCTGAATGGGAAAGGAGGCTTCAAGACGTGGCAGCGACTGTGGAAAGACTTTCGACCACCAAGGTGGTCGACTGGACAGAGTAGAGTCGATATAGTATCCAGGGAGAGGAGGTGCGGGGACTCCTTGGCCAGGGAGGGATGGCAGAGCCACCTCAGCAAGAGGGGATGAAGAAGGTATTCCTGGATCCAGTGGAAGCGGAAGCAAGGCGGAAGGCCCAGGAGAAGAGTTTCAGCTTCAGAGTTCCCACGGAGTTGGCCTCGCAGCAAGTGACCCCTATGACAATTGAGACCCCCGCAGAGGAGCCAGCGCAGAGGCCCCAATCGCCACCAGCAGGAGGAGGTTCTGCGGAAAAGTCCCCTACGATCCTATTAGAAGTGTGGGGGGGCACCCTTACGGGGGCAGTGGTGGCCGCTGAGACTAAGACGATGGAATAAGAGGCATCTCGTTTGGACGAGCTAGTGGCGGCCATGGAACTGGATATACCATCAAGAGGGCCTCAGGGACGCGAGACCCCGGAGCGTGTGCCAGAAATGGGGGAGTTGAAGACACAATTGGGCTCTTGGGCCACAGAGGCTGACTCAGGAGGACATACCTCGGAGCAGTAGCAGGAGGTTATGAGCGGGTCAGCAACATCCGTGGCTCCTCAGCCTTCAGAGCCGCATGAGGACAAGAGAGTGACTATGATGGAGGGGGCCCACGAGGGCAGGCCACGGAGATTGGATACCCCCGAGTACGGGTCTGAGGGAGGAGGAATGCGAGCAGGGCCGAGTACCCAGCTGTTGGGGGTGAGGCCAGAGGAGTCATGGAGTATGCCCCAAAGTCACGAGGTGAGCAGAGAGGTCAGTGAGGTACCATCGTCGCCAGGGTCCCTGAAGAAGAAGAAGAGGTACCAAAGGAGGTCGGATGATCAGTGCTTCTTCTGCAAGCATGGCATACACAGAGCCCTTGAGTGTCCAAAGTTCCTCAAGGACAAGGCAGCTAGGAAAGTGACAGAGAGCGGTGGGAAGATGTATGATAGGCGGGGTCGAGTGGTAGAGCGAGCTCCAGATGGAGGTAGGGCTCAGCTATATAGACAGAACTAGTAGGAGATGAGTGAGTAGGGACCGGTCTGTCTATATGCCACTAGGACCAGAGTTCCTTTGCACGTAGAGGATGGATTAGAGGTGTATATACTATGAGTTAGTTAATTGGATCCTAGAGGTGTGCATGCTTGGGGTCAGTTGAGTGAGTCTTGTCCATTTGTACATATATAGATGAAAGTGTTTGATGGGTTTTAAGTTTTTTTGGTGTGTGATACAGTTTAGGAGACAAGGTACAGTTGTGTCATATGTGCGACTATCTGGTTACGCCTTAGATTTCTACCTACATTTTTTAGTAGGTTCCGAGAGGTAGTAACACTCGGGACGTGAGTTTACTCGGCAGAGCGAGACAATAGACTGAGTATTTTGTGTTGTTTTCAAGGCAGACATCCTATTCCCGAGTATATTCTACGAGTTGCACGTTGAGGGCATGAGTTCTGCTCGAATGAGCAAGGTGATGAGTTGAGTGCTGTATTGGATCCTAGAGGGAGATATTTTGCTCCCGAGTGTATTTTAACTTCAGACTTTGTGAGATCTATTCTTGTGACGATCACAATCACTCTCACACGTGGGGCTTGATCCCTATGTATGATGGCTTTGTGTGCGAGATGTGTGGGATACATCTCATATGTCTTGTATTGTGTGAATGTGAATATCGTTTATTCTTCGATATACTTGTGCGATCTGCCTATAGGCAGATGAGAGGGCCGAGTATAAGGGGAGGCAGTGCGATTGTTTTGTAACAGGGAGTGTGAGAATACTAAGGGATTTTGCAAGTCTTTGAGACTCGGATACTTACCATGCCGGGTGTTTTTACAGTTGAGTTGTGGAGGGGCCCCATAAGCAGGTCCCTCAGTCTGAGTTGTTTCGTGGCTGAGTTGTGGAGAGGACTCATAAGTAGGCCTCTCCGGTTGAGATGTTCTGTGGTTGAACCCCCCCCCCAGATTAAGGGAGGTGGTAGTGTTGTTTGTCGGAAGACTCATCTTCAAAAGAAAGGTGTTTTAAAAAAGGGTCGCGTGGTAGCCCATCCTAGAAAGAGAGGGATGGTTGGGAAACCTATTGAGAGAGACCTTCTTCGTGTGAAAGGTGGTTAATAGATTTAAGGGCATCGTAAGCAAAGTTGAGTTGATAAAGTCTGACGAAAAGAACCAACATTACGGATTGGATCATTGGTGGAACTGAGAAGGTCGTAAGTCAGTGCATTAAGGTGTCGTGGGATGTGTGGTCTGCTGCCTCTGATCAAGTCAGTGGGTCATGGCCTTGTGTGAGTCTAACGGTGAATTTGTTTGTGATTGTGAGAAGGGGCCGTGCTTTCTATGTTGTCCCATAGGGAGCTCGTAAACACCTTTAAAAGTGAGACAGACCCCTGCGTAGTCCCGAAGCGCGCCTGTGGTCTGTTTTGCGATGCACCGTCTAGACACTTGTGTTAGTCCTAAGGCACATTGAGGAATACCAAGCTAAGCGGTAAAGGTTAGCACCTCTAGGGCGCAACCCCTATTGGACGGCTGCAAGCCAGCACAACCTGACTACGGACCCTCGTCTACCAGCGGGATAAGAGTTTAACGGGTTATGCACGCCCCAGGGAATTACTCCGATGGGATGACGAGGGATATGAGTCGAGTCTTTTGCTCGTCCTGATTGAATGTTTATCAGGAGGAAAGCCTATCGTTGCGTAACCAACGAAGGATACTGTCGCTAAAATAACAATGCAATAGGCCGTAGATCTGGCTTGATCAACCAGACTATGGTGGGCCAAGGTGGGAACCAAGCATTTATGTAATAGACTGCAGAAAGAGCCGAGATGAGGTCTAAGTGTATATATGTATATGTGTTTGATCGTGAGGATTTTCGGGAGGAAGGCGTGACTGTCTTCCAACGTCTCATTTAAGGCCCGTGTCCCTGGGTATGACCCTGCTTACGAGAAAGAGTCTAACAGGGACACCCAACGAGAAGTCGGCGCTTGTCTAGGACGAAGGGAGGCGACGGTTTGAGGAAGCCTTGGGAAATTATGCCGTAGTATTGATGCGTAATACCCCGGCGTCCCAATGTCAGGCGGGACAATGGAAACCCAGGTTGAAACCCTGGCGGCATATAGTTATGTTGGCACAAATTGTTGGAGGCCTCAACCTTGAGTCTGTCGGCTAATCGGATTGGTTCCATTTTCGTCAGCGTTTGGAGTGTGGATAAATTTATAGCTTTCTGATTTGGCGGAGCGATGGGGGCGTCGCTTAATATGGTCCGGTAGGTTGTCGGCGCGAATACCCTTACAAGGGTATCCACCCTGGTTTTTGCAGATGACAGGGAAAATGGGTTTGGTCAAAATAAGCCGTGCGAGGCACGACCGCGTCCGGGACCCGCCTTGGCTAAGTTAGGAGGTATGTGGGCACGCAGTCTTAAGGCGTGCGTGTGATTTTTCTGATTGAGTGGGCGGCCGGTCTAGTCGACCGATCCGGACCGTGTTGCGAATTTGATTAAGGAATAACAGTTCGTTTTTGGTTGGCATGCGCGACCGACGGTAAGACTGGCGCACAGGATGGCGTGCGGGGCAGCCACGACGCGGTCTAGGTAAGCCGGTGCGGGTGCCTAGCGATGGCATGCTGGTTGTAGGCAGAAAAGGGGGCCTAGGCTATTCTTCCCAGGCCTAGGCACCACGCGGTACCACTTCATATTGAAATCCGCGCCTAGCTGTTACAGGCTTGGGCTTAGCCCTATAGGTTACGGTAGTGGACTGTTACTACGGAGGTTTGGGGATCGAGGCCAGCATGCGACGACGAGGGAGCAGCAGAGCGTTGGAGAAAACCGAGGGGTCGAGGGCCCGACGGGCTATCCCCCTCAGTTTTGGTAACATGCCCAGCGACGGGCTCGACCTAAGGGACTGGCGAGGTGCCAGTAGCTCCCGTTTTCCATTTTAGGCCTTACAATAAACGGGTTTTATCGGTTTTTATATTCTTGTCTTTTTATTTTTTATTTTTTATTTTTTTACTGTTATATTTTTGTTTTTCTGGTCCCGTTTTTCCTTTGGGATATGGCCCGAGAGCCTGCCGCAGTGGGTACGCCCACGAGTTGTCGGGACGCAGGCCGAGTGGCCTTGGTACTTCCGTAGGGGCACGGCCCCGGTCAAAGTGCTCGGGACATCCGATGAGATCGGAATGACACGGAGAAGATCATCATGGCCCCTACGCGCGGATGACACGCATAAATCGGGGGAGAAGGGCCGGCACCGGTTGCTGTTTGATAGTGCCGACTCGACGACTGCGCGGTCCAGACGGATTAGCGCAGAGCTGCGCTGACGAGAGCTCCGTTGACGGCAACGCGACGGGGTGGAGTGAACTGGGATGGGAAAGTGAGTCGGGTACGTGCGGGTGAGGTGGAGTAGTGGCGGGCGGAGGAACGATGGGCGAAGCGACCGAGACGGATAGGAGATAGGGTCGGGCCACCACGGCTACCGGGCGCAGAGCTAGCAACAGCGGAGGTGGGGAAGGAAAGAGGGGAACGGGAAAAGGGTGGGGTGAACCTGGCGCGAATTTGCGCCGGGTACATTCGGGGGTTGGCATGGCGGAGCGTTGAGGAGGAAAGGCAGGCGTGGACGGAAAGAGAAGCGAGGTAGGCAGCGGCGGAGGATGGGAGATAGGGAGTACCTGGGCACCTTACCACACCAGGTGCATTTACGAGGCAAGGGAGATGAGACGGCGCGGCGGTGAGCCGGGGCGCAGCCAGGAAATGGGAACACAAGAGATACTCCACTGTTTTGAGCAAAGAGAGAAGTGTTTTCGAGGTTTTGGGGATGGGGGAGCCAGAATATGGGCTTAGCTTGGGAGGAAAATTAGTAGAATAGGGGTTAGTATGAAGATTTTGTTGCGCTGAGCTATGGCCAGTGGAGAAGAAGTGAGGGAAGGAGGCATCAAGTTCGCCCGTTTCTTGACGAGAACTAGTGAGGGAAGGCTTGTTTTAAGAGTTGGTAGCTGCGGGAGTGACTGTAAGGTTAGTTTTGGGGATAGAGTTGTAGAATAGAAGATATAAGAGAAAAGGGGTACGCGGGAAGACACCGAAAGAGGGGCGGGTTCGAAAGGCTACGTATCTTTCTGTGTTCCAACGAAAGATACATTCCCACCCTGCATCAGGAAGCGACTCACAGGTGGTGGGTGACGGCTCCCTTCGAACTTTCGAAGTACAACAGGTGATAATAGCCGACTCCTAGTACCGACTGATTCCATCTACCTTGTTGTCATGCCGGCTCGTAAGTTCAGGATTGTCGAGCTCGATCGGCTCCACGACATTCCTGTCTGAGCGCCATCGGCCTGATGATCGACCTTGCCCTGTGCAGCCGCCCGTGTAGACCACAAAGACACTTCTGCTGATGTCGTGGTTGCCCCGTTTTTACCGTGGGATCGGTCGTCGACTACATCGAGGGGGGGCGAAGGTGTATT